ACTTCAATAATAACATCAAATAAAAGCATATCATATCAATTTTCATCATATATACTAGCGTCGAACGGCATTTGGAGGATTGAAGGATTAGATGTGTGAATCACTGCACGTGCCTGGAGTAAATTTTTGTGCTGTACTAATTAATCATCGACCCAAGCGCCAATAACACCTACGTAGTAAAAATACTATGCACACCTTAAATTTGAAGCAAAAGACTCATTGTGCTCAAAACAATTTTTTTGTGTTGCGCTGAAAAGCACGTCAAATGGGTCAAAAATAACAGGATGAATGAAAACAGAATTCCACCGAATGTTAACCACGCTCCTCCTTCCCTGGCGGCTGCTACTTTCAACCTCAAGCTCGGCCAAATATTAATTTTATATATCCAACGATCTTTTTTCTTCCGCTGCTTCGGTCAAAACAAGAAGAACAGATAGACGCCCATACATTAATTTGGCCAGGTAAAAGTAGTCCGAAACTGAAGAACGATAAAGAAATAATTAAATGAAGTACCTCACAACCTTTCTCCCGTAGCTAGATGCGGACTCTGTGACGATTTGCATTGTAGTTAAGAAAAAAAAGTCATTCAATCCATGATTTAATATTATATATTAAACTTGTTGAATGTCGAGGTATCAATTGGTTTTTAATTGGTCAATTAAAGAGAAAATGAAGAACCAATGTTGAATTTGGATGTGAGATTGTTACCATCATTAGAACGCTGGTAATAAAGTTGTCCATCATTTTCTACTCCAGAGGTGGGTGAGAAAATGGCCAAAGTTATTAATGTAGTGCAAGCATGGACGACTTTCTCGTCCTCTTTCCATCTTTTAACCGCGAAAGCTTTTCTCCTTAATTTCTGCCTTTAAGAATTGGTTATAATTTATCCCTCAATGTCAAACCCCAGAAGTGCCAGTGGAGATGATCAACCAACTTGAATAATTTATAATGGCGTAGGAGATTTGCAAGAATTATCTGAATGATCATCGTCATCTAGAAAATTCTTGCCGATAAACTATCACCGTAAAAAATTGACCAAATTTTACATATAAAATAATTTTATTATAAATATTTTAACCGATTTTTAAATTTTATTTTTATTGTTTAAATGAAAATAATTAATTTTAAATTTATTTATAAATATGTATTATATTAATTTATGTTAAATATCCTTTACTTTCATCTTCTCCATAATTTCTCTCAAAAATTAGTAAATAAATGATTAATTTTTTATCTTCCCCCAAGTTAAATGTTTCCCATCTTTTATGAAAAATAAATCTTATTTACAATTTTTAAACTATCTTAAAAAATTATTTTAATAAAAAAAGTAATTTTAACCATATAAATATTGATAATAGTGATTTTGAACAATTTTAAATTTTTAATGAATATTAATAACTTTTACAATGCAAAATAATTATAAAGATTTCAAATGTGATTGATCTAGTTAATTTTTAATTATTCTCTACCTCATAAAGCAAAGCAGAGTTGCATATTTTTTCATATTCTTCTTGATAATAGTCTATTATAAAAATTTTATTAGTAACTTCTTTTTTCATAGCATTAGGAACGTAGACACTGGGTGGAATTACAATACATCTTTGTCCAATAGTCATTAAAGCTTAGTATACAGAATATTAAGAATAGACATCATATGTGTATCAGGCCAAGCATCAGCACATAATGTGTCAAATAGTTTGCAATACCATTTATATCTTGCAACATCTATAACACTTTAACATCCTAATGTGCCATATGTGTATTTTTATGTAAGTAAGCATTTATATATAACTAAGCTTGATTATAATTGAAAGTGATCATCTATTAATATTTTGATTATGTCATATTAAAACACTAGCTTAATAAGATCATTTTTAACAAATAATAAGCCATATGTGGCTAAATAATATTATGTATAATATAAAATTTAAAAATAATTTAATAATTAAACTTAACGCATCTTCTTTATTATTTATTTTGTTTCTTGATCCTATATATTATTTATTTCTCATTTTATATATAAAATAAGAAATATTTGAATAATTTCATTTAATTTTAGAATTTTAAAATATTTCATAAATTTTTTTTCTGATAATAATTTTATAAATTATTTCATATAATTTAAAATTATATTTAATTTTTTTTAAAAATACTTTTAATGATGACAGATATTACCACAAAAAATAATTATATAAATCATTTTTATAAAAATAAAAATTATTTTTTGGTGGCAACCGTTAAAAGTCATCACCAAATGTTTGCTCTTGATAATGACAATAAACAATCACAACCAAAAGTTAACGGCAATGTTTTTTTTTTTTGTTGCCATCAAAATCCTTTTTATTTTTTGTAGTGTATGTAAAAATGATGCTAAAGTTTCTCAAAATACTTCACGGGGTGATAAGGCTTTTGGTCCAGAAGAGGGTCCCAGCCACAAAGGTCATGCTTTTATCCTATCCAATTCTCTCATTTTTCTGCAGAAAGAATGGTAGTTTATCCAAATGTGAAATCATATTTTAATGGAGATCCAACCGACTTGAATAATTTATACAATGGCGTGCCCAGATTAGCAAATGAAGGATCTATAAACCTATTCAGCATTTTACACTATGAGAAGGATTGGAGTGAGAAGGATAGCTTATCTGATAGAGATTAAAACTGGCCCTGCAAAATGTACTGGACACTATCTGGTCAAAGATATCAATGCTTTGCCGATAGCATGCTGCGCCTGTTAGAGAGTTGGCTTTCAATATATTTTCTTAAGGGTGATTCCTTTAGCATAATGTGTGCAAATAATCTGAGCCATTGCAGATTCTATTTGTTAAGAGTAATTGCAACATGAACAGCTCATCTTTTGGCTCAAGTACGATGAACTTATTAAGAGTTTTGTGTCAATGTTTTTTTTTTTTTTTGACTTCAGCCACTTGCATTAAATATTATTGTTGCAAGAGTTACAGTTTAAAGGGACAAAACTGAAATGCTTTCACTTGTGTTATTTTCTTAACTGTTGTTGTTTTGGGCTTCCATTATTTTACTCTCAAAATAACCGTGAATGTTGCGATGGAAAGAAATCCGTTTTTTTTTTTTTTTTTCTCTCTCTCTGTTTTTTTTTTTTTTTTGGGTAAAGAGAAATGCTTTTATTTGAATCGCGTGCGTGCGTGCGTGCGTGCGTGCGTGTAACTGGAGGTGAAGTAGAAATGGGGAAAAAAATCGCTGTCACTGAATCCGGGAACACAAGACGAAGTATATTGTAATGAATTATCTAGCTCAAACAATACGCAATCCTTATATAAGTTGGCTGCCAATTCAAAAGAAGATTGTTGCTTTGAACAAGAAGCAAGATATTCGGATTATTTTTCAACGGATACAACCACTTGATTGGGATTCAGGAAGGACCAGAGTTGATGGACACATACATATAATTGGTTTTGGGATTTGGGCCTAACAATTCAAGAAGCCCAGCTAGAGACAGCTCTCACTCCGCTCCGATATCAATAACCGCTACCTTTAATTTTTTTTTTTTTCAAACTTCTTTTGCAAGATTTTGGGAAGAGCACGCCACGCCGTTAATTTGATTCGGGCTCGAGTGTAAAATTAAAGTCGTCCCACATTTTTGGATATAATAAGTATTTCATCAATAAATATATACTTTAATTTTAATAACAATTTATTTAAATTTTAATGTGTTTGAAAGATTTATAATTATAACTGAAATAAATTATGTAAATGTTAGTCCATCATCAATAATAAATATTTATTAAAGTTTTAAAAATAATTTATTTAAAATTAATAATAATATATTCAAATAAAATGTATGAGGTTTTAAAATTTTTAATTTATAATTAAGCATGTTAAATTAATAAGTAACAAAGACGGAGGCCAAAATAATTAACATTGAGATTACATTATACTGAGAGCATACGGCAAAGCAGAAGAAGTAACCATCAAAGGTTAACAAACCCACGTGCGCCTCCGATCATGGTCACAAACTCACAATTTTCCCTGTCTTGCTTTGCAAGTCTCGTCATCGGTCAATTCTTCACGACCTCTTGATATACTCCAGTGGACGCCGCCAGAGGCTCACTGACTCCACCTCGAAAGCCCATCTTCCGACACCAAAACCAGATCCTTGCTCTTGCTCTTTCTTCTTCGCCTTCGCGCTGCTCTGCTCAGGCCTACCGTCTGTCTTCAAAGGTCATCTCTCCCCCCCCCCTCTCTCTGAGTCTCTGTTTGTGTCGCATAATCAAATGCAATTAATGAATAAGGATGATAATGATACTGGACTTCTTGAGGATTCTAAATTATGTTTTGTCGTTTCTGGCTTTATGCCATCTGTTCTGCTAGCTATTTTTGTCGTTTCGGCTGTGCTTCTGTCTTGCGTTTCCGCAGGTGCTTTTGTTTCCATGTCTCCTTCCTCTTCCTCTCTTTTCTGTGACGTACTCTGCTTTTTCGCCTTTGTCTCCGCTGTTCACGCGTTCCACTTTTTCCCTGCTCCAACCCCTGCATTCCCCATGCTCCTCTTTTCTCTTCGAACTTTCCACCAAAAAAGTCTGCTTTGCTCGTCTTCCACACGCTTTCCCCAGCTACATTCAATGTTCACGCTCAGAGAATTTTCCTTTCCTGGCCAGTTGATTGAGAGTTAGAAAAAAACCTTGTGGGTTTATTTTTGATGCTAGTGCAAGCTGGCTCCTCCCTGAATGCCATTAATTAATACCATTGACATTCTTGTTGGTTTGATTCTCCCAAATTGTCGTCGCGTTGCTCTCTCTCACTCTCACACTCGGACCTGCTAACCTTCCCATTTCATTCACCAGGTCCTTCTTTGCTCCGTCACTGACAACTCAGTGAACTTACTGGTCAAAAACAATCACAAATGTCTTTTAACTTTTGGATCGACGGCTGTTTGCTGTCTGATTGATGTTTGATGTGACATCTTTGAATCACTCCTGCAATATTTTGAATTATTTTTTTAAATATAAATAAGACTCTGTTCCCTCCCGACTTAGTTAAGAAGCGAAAAACCTCACTCTTGGCCAAGTGTTATCCTCGGATAGTGTCATCCGTATTTAACAGGACTCCTTCACGAATATCTGTGTTTCTATCTTCTTTTTATTTTTTATTTTTCTCTGGGCGCTATCGTGGTTAGTATCACTCGACAGTCTCGTTTTGCTTGTGCTAGCAATGGAAGAGCGTTCGATTGCAGGGATCGTTGCCGTGGCAGCATCGTCGTTAATGTTTCTGGGACTGCTCGCATATTTGGCCGGTGCGTTCCTGTCTTTCTAACACGTCGAATATTATTAAACAGCGACCCTTTTCTTTGTCTAGATTCCTGACATCGATTTGTTTCATGCGCTCTAATTAGTCCTCTCATTTATAAATATCAGATATGAGTGGTATAACAACCACCTGGATTGGTATACAGGAAGAAGCGGCACCTAACATCACACACTCCGCTCATCGTAAACTTCTCGGAGGTAATCAAAATTAAGCGTCCAGCATATGAATATTTTGCGTAGCTGTAGAGCGTGTTTGTGTTCTCAGAGTGTCTGTGGATTTGCATAGGGAGTGAAAGGAAGGAGGCGGACAGGATGTGGGGGGACCAGAAATGCAGGAAGGGAGATATAGTGATAAGGCAGGGGGCGACGTCGCCGCTGGCGAGTGGGATTCCGACGTACACGGTGGAAGTGAGCAACATGTGCGGGAGCGGGTGCGATATCTCCGGCATCCACGTCAGCTGCGGGTGGTTCAGCTCGGCGCGACTGATAAACCCCAAGGTGTTCAAGCGTCTTGGCTACAATGACTGCCTCCTCAACGACGGCAAGGCATTGGCCGTCGGCGCTAATCTGTCCTTTCAGTACGCCAATACCTTCCTTTATCCTCTCGCCGTTTCATCCGTCTCCTGCCCTCCGTGATTACCACTTTACCCTCCTTCCATTTTTCTACTCTCTTGGGTTTCTCTTGTGAATATAAAACGTGATTGATAGATAAATCACACAGAGCTGTATGTGCTTTCATAGGGACGTGTCCTATTTTGATTGATTGCTTAATTAGGATGGTATCTGATTCCATTTTCTAGTTAATTAGTTAGCTTCATGATACTATCAGTTGCGTCAGACAACTACCACTAATACAAGAATATGTATAATGTATTGCTTCTCTCACGAGTTAGAATAATAGAGCGGCATTTTTCATATTGTAAATTTAACGCGACTGGCAAGTTTGTAGAAGGGGTGGTATTTAATTTTGGAAGTGTGCGAGGAGATTCGCCACTGTGTCTCCTAGTCCATGAAGTTGGCTGTGCGACGTCCGAACAAGAATATCATCTTCAGTAAAGATTCACTTATTAGTTATTACATCCCATTCCCATGGATCGAATTTTTTTTTTTTTTGGTAGGAATGGATCGCTTTAATGATACCAGAGACAATGAGAAATGAGAATTGGGCTTGGTTGTAGTTTTAGGCCATGTTAATGTTATATGAGAAGCCCATCACAAAGATTAACTAGGTGTGAGTCAACTGCCATATTACCCGAGGTTTTGTTGTGGTGAGAATAAAGAGGAGTAGAGACTGAAATTACCAAAATGCTTCAATAATTCATTTTTTTTTTCGTTTCAAAACTCCAAAAATATATGGGAACGGTTTTGAAACTCTTGAATTATCTTTAGAATAGTTACTCATTTATCTTTAACAATGCTCGAATTGAATTTAGTAATACTGGGTATCAAAAAAAGAAGCGGATGTAACAATCTTTAAATAAGAGTTAAATTGAAATCTTATGGGTATTTTTGACAAATTCAAGAATATAACATTGTTCTAGGATGCCTGAGAATGCTGGAAATATCCTAAAATTAGTAAAAACGCATGTGATGGACGGGTTTTATATTACAATTTGTATGAATAGGTTCAAAAGAATAATTTGTACTATATGTTTTATCCATATATATCATCCTATATGTAATGTAATTGTATAATTATAATCATTAATATTAAATATATACACACACACACATATATATATATCAAAGTAAAGCAAATGGTAAAAACTAAATGTATATTGTGTAAATGGATGCAATAAAAAATATATTAACAAAAATTCATAATTATTTAGATTAAATTATCAAAGCATTTTTATAAATGATATTAAAATTTATATTTTTGGAACAACTATCCCTATCAAAAATTAATATTTTTAGACCTCCATGCTTCGAACACGAGAAACAATAACATATAATATAATTAATTGTTGGTGAAAACATGATGAGATATGCATAAACTAATATGACACAGGATCTAGTCTTAGCTCTGATTAATGGGCATTGCAAAGGCCAATATAATGGGAAACTTCCTCCTTTTCATAATAATTGACAAGTTGACAATCTTAAATCAAATGGACATATAGCAATACATGGTATACATACTTTCATCCTTGTAATTGATCCAAATGTTTCTCAAGCTTCAATAACATATTTTATAACTCATGTAACTATAAAACATATACCATTGCATAACTTCATAAACTTATCAATGTTTCGATTTGCATTAAAATAATTGGGTCACCTTCTTTAAGCTTTATTTCATAATTTAGGATACTTAACATTGTAATTTAATTTAAAAAATTTGTATAGTGCAAGTCATTAATTATCCCTATCATATTTAATAACACTATCAAAGCTCAAGTATACAACTCTATTTTTGAGAAGTTAGACCAACACATAGTTGTTTACCTTTTCAACCATAGCTAATGTAAGAGCTAATATAGCCCTATCCTTAAAATATGAAGAATTATAAATATTGATAAGGAAATTCAAAAAAGTCAAATCAACAATGGACTTTATTGATCTGAACCATTCAGAAACAAAATTAGTTAAGATCTTAATATTCATAAATCCTTCGTTAGCTCTAACAACAATTCCATTACCAAATAAGATAACCTAAGTAGTAAAATCTATAAAGAGCACTAATAAATGCTCCATTATTTGTTGCTAGTAGTCTTATCTTTATTGTCAGTATAAGAAATTAATAATTTTTCCAAAACAAAGAGTTAATAGTTGCAAAAATAATATATTCTCTTAACCTACTTAGAATAACAGGAAGGCTAGATTTGCTTGAAGTCTTCATCAAACATAGCAACTTTTCCTTCAAAAGGAGGATCACCAGCTAATAGCTACTTAACTTTAAAATATCCTTTAAGCATTTGTCAAGAGTTTCAAGACAAAACTCGTGTGTCGTTGGAACCTCGTCTCATCTAATCAATAACTTCTGAACCAATAATTTACCCAAGTTGTTCTCCTGTTTCATGCTACATATAGCGTCTTCAGTCATAGAAAGATAAATAAAATATTTGAGTGAGTTGTTTATCTTCCTAAGTGTATCAGAGAAGCCATCTTGCTTGATGTTATATTAAAAATTATTTTATCTCTAAATCTTAATGAAGCACAAAGTGTCTACAAAACATACATCTTCTTAGTACCACCATATCCATATGGGTAAAAAAAAAGCATTTTCTTTTTCAAATTCAATGGCATCGATAATTCTATCATAAATCTTTTTTTTAAGAAGTTAGACTTTGAAGCAACCTTATCACTTCATCATATATAATACAACTCTATCATAATTTAGTTCACTTCTTATTAGTTTATTTTCGCTTGCATTCAAACTTGACATGTTGGATAAAAGTATAAGCTCGTAATTGTTGAGATTTTTCCCGTTAGATTACAGTATTTTCTCAATTTTAATTAGAGCTGGTAATATAAATCAAGGCAGTGGCTCTAACCTTGCCAAAAAGTGATGGGTTAGGTTGTATAGTCTAGAGCTCAATAAAATGTTGGCCAATTTTGGCTAGCAATATTTAATCCAATCTGTCAACCCATGAGCTAACTTGCTTATAATTTTCATTTTAAATTTTTAATTGTTTAATTATTCATTCCTTTCTCCTCCAATCTTCTTCATTTTATTCTAACATCTAATTATAGTAATCTTTCTTGTTTAATTAGTATAATATATAGGTAGAGTGAAACATATATATATATATATATATATATAGTAGCTAATACCATTTATTTTAATTAGAGTGAAATACAATTATCTGATCATCTCCCTTCAATTCTTCTAAAATTACATGGACCTCCCTTTTATTTTTAAAATCCACACTTTAGTCTAATTTTTAGTCCTGATAAGAATATTCAAGTAAAAATTTTAAAATACTTTTAATTTTTTTAATTTTAATTATATTAAAAAATCTAAGTATTAATTTTTTCTTATAATGTATTTGTCCATACTCTCCCTCCTTCAATTTAAGAAACTTTAAATAATTAAATGTTAAAATTTTAAAATAATTAATTTAGACATTTTGTGATCAGATTAATAAAATTTAAAGAAAACTAACCATAAATTATACTGATTAATTTATTTTTATTATATATTACTTTTCTATTTCATTAAGCTTCTTGTATATAAGTGTTTAAAATATTATTTTAGATAACTTGTGCATTTATATTTTAAAAAATTATTAAATAAATAAATTTAAAAAACTAAAATTTTAAAATGTTAATAAAATTTTAAAAAATATATACTCTCTCTGTTAAAAAATATAAGGTATTTTTTAAGGAGGTTTTAAAAATATATTTTGTGTAATTATTGGCTTTTTTTTAAAGTGTCCCTATTGATAAATGACTTCATATTTATTGTAAAGTATTTAATAAGAGTAAATATAAAAAAATAGAGTTAATTTAAAAGTAGATAACTGCTTTATTATGTTATAAGATTTGATTAAAAATACCTTATATTTTTAAACAAAAAGAATATACATTAAACTTTTTTAGATATATTGAATGATTGTTAGATAACACACACACACATTTAAAAAGGGTATTTTGATTTAATATATAACTTAACAGTCAGCTAATAATCAGGTGAATGAAAATAAAATTTTTAAAATAAAAATAAGGTTTGTGTTTTTAAAATATTATTCTTAGTCAAGGTTTGTATATGTTTAAAAAATGGAAAAGAAGTATGTTTAATTAAAATAAATTAAAAAATAAGTAAATTTATTTTACTCTTTTAATTATTATAATGTATATGGGGATGAAAATTCAAATTAAAATTGACAATCCTTTTGAAATTTTAATTTATCTAGTTTAAAATTTAAAATTAAACTTAAAGTTTTTTATATTAAAAACTTAGAGTCTTTTTTATTATTAACTGTATTATATCAGTGATGCAAAATAGCTGAATATATTGATCAATATTATTAATTTATCCTACTCCAATTATAGCATTACCAATATTTTAAGTATTTTTCTAAGTTAAGATTAATTTAGTGAGATCATTTTACTAAAGATATATTTTAGAGATAATTTTATGTGTATTTAAATAGTCAATATTTTTTGCACTTTCAACTTATTTAGATTATATAGTTAAATTTTAAAGTTCAATATTTATTAATTAAATAAAATGATCGGTTGAGTAAAAATATCATTGAATTAATTAATGCTATTTCTTAATAAGAAAATATAAATAACATTATTTAATTAAAAAATATGAGTATTTTTAAATTTGAAACTTCACACAATAAATAATTAATATCTTATCCCTTCCAAAATATATTGATTTTATGAAAGTTCATCAGACTTCAATATTTTATGATGATTTAACTTTTAAAGATTTAAATATAGATGAAGACATTAATAAGAATAATTTATATTTTTAGAATATATATTGTAACTATTATTTTTGTTTTGTATACAAAAATATTTAGTTTTATATAAAATGGTAACTTTATATTGAAAATATAAATACAATGTTAAAAAATTATGATAGAAATTTATTTTTGACTAAAATTTTCAATATGATTTAAAAATGATTAATTGTAATTTGATATATATTCAAAATTTTATTGAAAATCTTTTTTATTTTGATATGAATGATAAAATTGCATCCAAAAACTGTTTTACGTCTCTTTTCTTTGTTAAACAAATCATATAATATTGCATCCTTAAAATAAAAATATTAAATAAAAAAAGATCGATATATATGATAAAGATAAATAAATTTTATTATTAAAACATATCATAATAAAATAATTTTAAAAAAATAAAAATGTAATTTTAAAATAAAAATAAATTTAAAAATAAAATAAAAAACTGAATTTAAAATACATTGAAAAATCACGATTAAAAAATTATTAAATTATATTTATAAAATTTATCATGAAAAATAAAATATAAAATAATATATTATATTATCTAAAATAACATAATTAAATGTTGCTAAAAAATCTTAATTGATTGGA